AAAATGGAGTCACTTTGGTCTCACATTCCCCCCTTCTCATGATGCTATAGAGGACCAATCATGGGCCTCTGGGGGTTAATTCTATTAGGTCTGTAGAAACTGGCTGGTATTGGGACCTGAGTACCATCAGCTGTACAGTGTTAATGTGTTCTCTGATAAACGAGACTAATCTATTGAGTATACAAGGTCCAAGGGTTAACAGTAGTAACAGAATAAGCAAGGGGCCCAGTAGAGTAGCCATGGGGAGGAATTAAACCAGGATTCAAACCAACTTTGAGTTTGTTCTCCCTCTCTCTTTTGTCTAGCGATACCCTCTCTAACTTTGGCCATAGATTCTTTGACCACTCCTGAGTGGTCTACATAAAAACAACATTCCTCACCTAAGGCAGCACAGAGCCCACCCTGTTGTAGAAAGATTAAATCTAGCCCCCTTCGGTGTTGGAGGACCACTTCTGCCAGGGAGGCTAGTGATTCTTGCAGGTGGGAGATGGAGCTTTCTAGCCTCTCGATATCTACATCTATGGCTGCTCTCAAATCATTGTAATGTTTATTTTGTAACACTAATGATGAGACCCCTGTTCCTGCCCCAGCTAATCCTAAACCTAGGAGAACTGTCAAAGTGATGGCTGTCATAGGCTCTCATTTAACTCTGGCTGAGAACTCAATCAAGCGATTGAAAATATCTTCTTCCAAGTGATATAATAGTCTAGGAACTAATTGCACTAGCACACAAAAGTTTCCAGCCTGGTTGAGCACCTTCCCATGTGTGCAAGGGGTAAGCCCGGTGGAACAAGCCCACCATCTATCAGAAGGGGGTACAAAATATTTTTCTGACCTAGACTGATAGGTTTGATTGCAAAGGTGTTGGTGAGTGGTTGGGACACTGCCAACACAAGTTCCTTGTCCAGTCACTGATTGTAGGGTCAGCCTGGCTGTCCCCTTTTGTTGCCGTCTACACTGGGTTGGACTATCTGACTCAGTGAAGTTTTCTGAGAAAGCTATTCCCTAGTAATAAGGGGGCTTAATGTCATAACACAGCCAACAAGACTGAGTAAGATCTGGTCTGGAGGCATTTAGGGCTTTGAAAGTGTGGACCATCAGTCCCCAGAGGGGGTCCTGGTCTTGGTTGTGGTTGACGTTTTCGGCCTGGGTGGCAGCCTGAGAGGGGAGCTGGGATGCGGGTATGGGAGGTGTGGGTGAGGTTCCCTGGGGAGGGGGCTTGGTGGGTCTAGGAGGAGCCAGAGGGACTAGAGCCAAATTTGGCCCAATTGGCTGAGGAGGGCCCATGACGACATGTGGCTCTATTTTTAGTCTCACAGTAAATAGTAACCCATTGTCATGACCATCTTGATATAGGCAGAGCCCCCATGTCCCGCCTGTTTCCCACCTAGTGTACTGTTTACCTTGGTTGGTGAATGAAAGTCTGACTGGGTTACAGAGGAACTCTGAACATGGACCGTTAAGGACCATGACGTTACCGTTACTGCGGCTTGTTTGAAGGCCGGGGGGCCCAGGGACTCTTTTTAAAGAAATTAAATTGCCTGTGACAGGCGGAGCCCATGAGAAGGTACCCGTGGACTCACATCCCCATTTTGCACAATAGAACTCATCAATCCCTCCACACTTTTCCACTTGAGACCATGAGCGTCCTTCTCCCGGGCAGACATAGAAAGGGGTGTTTTGCAAAACATTTCTCTCAGTGGGTCAGCCACACCCGGGGTCTAATCTTTTTGGAGCCATGGGTAGGGACACCCAAGGGGGGGTTAGATTTTTATCACATTTGGTGGTACCTGCTTTATATATGGGCTTTCCCCCGGGTCCGATTTCCCAGTCTCCTATGGTCCAGGTCCCTGCAGCGAGTCGACACAGATCAAAGTCAAGGGTGGGCCACCAGGTCAGCGTCGTCGTCACTTTAGATGTACTGTTGACAGTGTCGCCCGTGGATGTACTAATGATCATCCAAGTTAAATTCAGGGGAGCATGTGGGTTCTGTCTTCCCAACACTGGTGTTAAGAGTACAGTTACCATAATTATGACCGTTGACGATGCAGTCTGAGTTTGAGAGGGTTGTCGCGGTCCTTGGACACCTGCCATGATGGGATGAAGTCTTCTAGAATAGCGTGTGGATCTGCGGGGGCGGACGTGAGTGTAATGTACCCATGAGGCAATCCCGTCGACCTTGAGAGTGGTGGGCCTGGTCAGGACAGTAACATAGGGTCCTTTCCAACGAGGTTCAAGGTCCTTCTGTCGATGTCTCCGGACAAAGACCCAGTCTCCTGGTCGGTAGCAATGGGTCTCAGGAGGTGGTCCAGACTTGTACAGAGGTTTCAATTTAGGCCAGACATCCTCATGAACAAATTGGAGGCTTTTTAAAGAAAGTAACAATTCTTGGTCATCAAATTCAACAAGCACATTTGATTGGAGGTTGGGGACAATGGGAGGGGGAATTCCAAACATATTCTCAAAGGGAGTTAGTCCCATCTTATAGGGTGAATTACGTACCCTATAGAGGGCAAAGGGAAGGAGAGCCACCCAGTTACCTCCAGTCTCTAAGGTTAATTTAATTAAGGTCTCTTTTAAAGTTCTATTCATCCTCTCTACCTGTCCTGAACTTTGGGGTCTGTATATACAATGTAACTTCCAATTTGCCCCCAATACCTGTGCTAAGTTCTGACTCACCTTAGAAATGAAGGCAGATCCATTGTCTGACCCTAACACCATTGGGAAACCATACCTTGGCAAGATGTCTTCTAGCAGTTTCTTGGCCACAATCCGTGCCATTTCATGTTTGGTAGGGAAAGCTTCTGTCCATCCTGAAAAAGTGTCTACAAAAACTAGTAGGTACTTATAACTATACCTTCCAGGTTTTACCTCAGTGAAGTCCAATTCCCAGTATGCTCCAGGTTGGTTCCCTCTCAGCCTATTGCCTGCGTTGGTTTTATAGTGGGTAGCATTTGTCAATTGACAGGCTTTGCAGGTGGCAACGATACGCTCAATTTTGGAGTTAGCATCTCGAATCTTTATTTCAGCATGTCTCAGGAGGTCTTGCATCTTTCGAGTGCCCATGTGGGTGGCCCGGTGCATTTTGTAGAGAACTTGTTCTCCCAGTGCTTCAGGCAGGATGACTTTACAATCAGAGGATTTCCACCACCGGTTGAGGCACTGGGGCATAGGTAATTGTTTTACCCACTTTAAATCTTCAGTATACTGGGGTTTTTCTGGCAAGGCAGCACTTCCTGGATTGGGCAGCTGATTGGTTAAGGTTAAATTAGCCTCTAGGGCTACTTTTCGGGCTGTCTGATCAGCTAGGTTATTTCCTCTAGCAACCGGAGTGTCACTTTTTTGGTG